CACTTTCTCTTTCTTTAATTGTCGCTGCCGTTTTTTCTCTCTGTTTTTTTAATATCTGTCTTCCTTCATCTCTTTCTGTCTCGCTCTCTTTTTACCCTTTCTTTCTGTCTTTCTATTTTTTCTTCCCCTTCTTTTTTATTTCTCTTTCTCTCTTTGTGTATTTGTTGTCTCCCCCATCAGAGTTATTGCTTTTCATGCCGTACAAATCGGCGCAATAATTCTAGGAAGGAAGCAGAAGATGAAGAAGAGGAAGCACGAGAAGGGTGCGTGCAGGTTCGCAATACTGATTGTTAGCACTGCACGGACTAACGTTCGGTTTAAACAGCTCTGAAAACCGCAATACCAAATTTTGTGTGAAGACAAGTCCACAAGACCTCTTTCCGCATTCGGAAGTCACCACCGAAAACCCGGACCGCCGTGTGGAGCTGATCTGGATGACTGCGCACTCTGAGAACCACTGCAACGAAGCCGCCAATGACTACGCTCGAGGTGCCACCAACCGGGCGGTTGTGAAATGGGAGTCTGGTTCTTCCAGGGAGGGCATGCAATCGCTCAACGAGATGACCCACGCACATAGCGCCTAACGCCGGCTTGCGTTCCTGCATCATTGCACACTTTCACGCAAATGTTGTCCGTGATCACGCGAAGACTAGGCGAAAAAAATGGGGGGATTATCAGGCACTTTAGTAACACTCCATTCACAGCATGGTTTAAGTACATACAATCAGGCGCGACCATCTCTGTGTTCAAGGACATTATTCCATATTTGTTATTCAAGTAGCCATTATAAGGACACTGTCGGGGGGTCACTCGAAGAGCAACTGTGAACTTAGCTCATGAGGATGTGGTCACAAGCGCAGACATGTGCGCTCTGCCGACAGAGATCAAAATGGCCGACATGCGTGCTGTGCTCGTGACAATTACTTAGTGTTGAAACGACACAGAGCATAACAACAACTTCACTACCAAGAGCGGCCGTACTTCCTTGAACCAGCCTTTGGTAAATGTTAAGCGAGGTCGAATACATAAGAGTTACTTCTATGCTTTCTTCGTACAACATTCTAATTCGTTGCTCTTGCACTAATTCTTTCACCCTTGCTGCAAAACTGTGATTTATCTTCTCACAGAAGAGGGCTTTCTCTTCTTCAAGCTAAAGAATGTGGCCTTGCTTGAGGCTACGTGTCCAGGACAAACTATCACGCTGAAAGTTGCAGCAAGAAATGCCAGCCAATCTGGATGGCTAACGTATTATTATATTGAAGGTGATCAGCCAATCGAAAAGCACCATTGCGAAGTAAAAAAAAAGAGAAGGCGTGGTGAATTCGGCCCCTGGGACCTCCGTGGCTGCCCACGTCCCTCGTGTGGCGATAATAAAGCATCACGCCGCCGTTGTCTGCCCTGTTCTATCGAACGTGCTCAACCCAGTCGCGTGGACTCGGGGGAGCTGTATTATATCTGCTCCGGAAAACGGGGTACTTCCGCCACCTGAACGTCGAAGATGATGGGACCCTTGTGATCTGGAGAACACTTCCTGTCTCCGTACTTCCGGTATAACGAGAATCCACGCGACCTTGCCACAGGGTGGTTGACGCGTGCTAGTTTCAGCAGGCTTGCCGCGGAAGGGTGGGTAGCTATACAGAATAATCGTAATATGCAGTCTGCTTTAAGTCGGTTAGCTCACATTGAGCGAGAAGACATGTAATTTAAACAAAAGCTAATATCGCTTAACTCTGCTCATTATTCTAAGCAAAGGCCGCTACAAAGGGGGGTGGTATGAGTTAAGCGAAAAAAAAAACGTAAACGAGACAAAAATAAAACAAAACGAATAGTCAATGGCAATAGTCACTGTGCTATGAATTTGTTAATTATCTGGCCATCGTAGGCTACACCTCACGCTACTTTTACGATGTTTTCATTGTAGTACGCTACTGTAACATTTTACGTGGTCATTGAAGCTGTGATTACCCACAAAATGAGGCATCACAAACCGTGCAGTACTTCGGAACGTGAGTAGGCTGTGCTCACAGGACCGCGATGTCAAATGAGCGTTACCGAAATGTCAGGCTTTGCTTCGCATAAACCTAAGTATCAGTGTGTATTACCTTTTCTCCTCTGTTTTTTTTTCTTCGTTTTCTTAGGAGAAGAAGGGCACTTACTGGCGTCTTTTCTCCCTTTCGTCCGATCGTTAAGCGTACCCACTTTGCGGCCCAATATTTCGCCATTTCAGGATTTTAAAAGGCCTCAAAACGTGGCTGTCGATTTAGAACCTTGGAGCACTCGTGTTTTTACGCTGAAATTCGTAGGAGAAGCACCATTTGTACGCGAATTCGATTCGTTCTTTCTTTTTTTATTTTTTCATTCCTCCATATGAATTCGCGGCTGAGAGCACCTAAATCTACGATGGCTCGACTATAAAACTGCCGAAATGAATGCGCAGGTGTAGAAGGAACGAGAATTCTTTCTACGTAAAGTAGATTACCGCGGGTCTTCCGTTAAATTGCCTTACATCGGTGGAGGCGTTCAGAAGCCGTAAAGTAGGCTAGAGCAGCTGAACAAAAGTATTCCTGAAATCGATTCCGCTTGCTCAAAAAAGAAAGAAAGAAACAAGAAGAGCCTAAACCTGCGAAAGAGGTCATCGGCAGCGAGTGCCTATTTCGACCCCAGGAACCAGCAATTGCCGTTTTCGACGCTGTTCGCATAAATCATGGATCCCGATTGTCAGACACAAAGTGGCGCCATTTTAACAATGACGGATATAAAAGGGAGCAGCCGTCTTTACCCATAAAGTTTCTGAAAATTCACGCCGCATCGGCAAAGAAGATTTGAATTAAGCTGAAATCCGAATTGAATTTGATAAACCCACTACGGGTCCCACCGCTCTGCACCCGCCTCATGTATGCTGAATCTCTGCTCTATATCTTTCATCTCTCCATCCCCCTGCCATGCGCAGGGTAGCAAACCGGCTGCCTATAGGCTGGTTAACCTCCCTGCCGTTCTTTTCCTCCTATTTTCCTTCCTTTCTTCTGAGGTAAAGGAAACAGTGGGTGCGTCTTGAAATCCAACCACAGGGCGTTCGCTGTGTTGTTTATTTCGTAAATTTTATTTCTGTACGTGGTTTTATCTGCTGCAAATCAAGCTTCTGCGTGCTTTTCGTCTGCTTAAGCTGGACTGCTAAGCCCGTGCTTGTCAAATCCCTTAAATAGATGACCGCTGTTGGATCATGTTACCGAGCTGCAATATTCTTCTAATGCTTTGTACCTGTTACTACCACTCCTGCTTACAGCCATAGCTAGAGGCCAGCAGTACTGTATAAATAAATAAATAAATAATAAATAAATAAATAAATAAATAAATAAATAAAAATAAATAAATAATCACTTCTCTATTGCTGCATCTTTTGTTGGCGTGTTTCATCGGCGACCGCTTCACGATGTGAAGTATTATGCATTACTTCATTTGAGCTGGTCCCCAAGACAGGTGCGTGAAACCGACTTCAGTAGTACCACACACACACAGATAAAAAAGGGGGGGGGGGGGGGAGAGGATGAAGAGAGAAATAAATTGAATAGAAGAGAGGTAGAGAGCTTAAGTAACCGCAGTTATGAAACGTAAAATAGGGTTGACTTGATGCATGGTTTTATTACGAAATGGGCTAAGGCACGCAAGGGGTACGTTGGTCGGAATTTTTCGTGCCGTTTTTCATCGGCTCAAAACGTTGGTTGAACTCTGGGAAAACGTTGGTGCGACTGTCACTTTTCATAAGGGTGAAGCTTTGCTTTAAAATTGACCCAACACCGTAACCGAAACACAAGCTCGTCGCTGTGTAAATCATAGATTGTCAGCTGAATTGGGCATTGTGCTGTTCTATAGCGCGCATCTCTTGCGTTTAGTGTATTGGGCCGGTTTTCGTGCTTTGCGTAGACACTGAGAATCGCGCAGCATCTGCATTTATTTTGGAAGCGACCGTCGGCAGCTGGCACAACAGCAAACGTTGTGTGTCTCGTGATAAGAATGGCGCAGATCTCAAAAGATAATAACGTAATCTTGTTCCTCGTTGAATTGTGCTATAGTGTCGATGCGAATGAGTTATGGGCGAATGCTGAAATCGGTTGATTTTGCCCGTATCCATTTTTTCAAAGTTTCGCAAATCAAAATGGAGTAGAGCTTCATAGGCACGGTCACGAATTCGAACCACGCATGCAGACTTTAGCTTTGTTCTGCGGCTACGGGACTGAAAAACTAATGCTGGTGAAACAAGCAATCGCACCGCTTGGCTACAACAAGCACCACAGTGACAGCGAAAGCGTGGATAGCGGCCTTTCTAGATCATGTTGCGAATTCTCTTGCACAGACAGAGTTACGCGTTACCCGCTGCGTCATAAGTCGTCGTAATAATGTGTGGCAAAGAAGTAACCACCAAACCATTATACGCCATTCTGTGGATGAGCGAGATACCGCTGCAGATCTACAAGAAGTTATGTGAACTTCGTTGATGCAGTGGCTGATGAATGCATAGGTGGATAAACTTCATTGTGGTCCTTCGGAACGCGCTAGACGTATAAGAATAAAGGCGGAGCCCTTTTTATTGGGGGGCAACACTTTAAACCATCCCCTGATTAAGTGATTCGCCGTAAGTGTGCTCTATTATGACATTTCAGCCTTTTTGCCATGCTATTATGCACCTATAACGTGATTCCTTATCTGACACGACCCATGTAGAGAGTATTTTACGAAGGAGGTTTAGGCACCGTCATTTATGAAGATTCAAGCACCAGCCTAGCTTTGTGGCCGAATACTCTACTGCCACACGGCAGGGTCGTATCCTGCTCGAACTTAAATGTATGTTTTGTGCTCATTGGGCGCGATAGCGGTTAGCAACGCCAGCGGCGGTGGTGTACACATACGTCACCGAAATACGCTCTTGTTGTGATCTCAAGACAGCTTACGCTGCAAAATGAACGACAGTAGCGAGGGCACATATTGGGAACAGTGTTGCTCACCCGCACTGACGTGAACTACGGTGCTCAGCACGGTCCCTCTGGTGTTGCGCGCGTGGCAGCGGAAGGAACCTCGGTGTAATTGCTCGCGGAACTGGTGCTCCCGAAAGGGCAGGAAGGTGAGCGTGCCGTCGTGGACGGCGAGCAGCTGAGCTCGGGAGGCCACCGGCAGCGCGCTGGCGTTCAGCCCGTCGGCGGCGCTCACCCACCAGACGTCGGGGCGCGGCTCTCCCTCGGCTAAGCAGCGCACCGTGGCACCCGTCCAGTTGGAGAACAAGAGACGCGCGGGGAGCTCGTTCAGCCAGCGAGGCCCGGATGTCCCGTGGGTGGCGTCGCATCGGCTCGCCAACACGCCGAGTGTAGCAGCTATGGAAGAAATAGAGAGAGAGGAGAGAGACAGGAGAGAGAGAGGAGAGAGAAAGAGAAATTAGTAGCTGTGCACACAATAACTTAAAGAAAATACTAATTCAACTTATTGTTCATCCATAATTTTTTGTTCTTTTGATAAAATATACTGTACCGTAATCTGAAAGAGCTATAGGCTGAAAATTACAAATTCAAGTAAATTTCACAGTGCCAACTCGGCCCGAATATGAACGTTTACTTAATTTTTGACGTCACTCTGATGTTTGGGCAGTAGGAATCTCACTTTCGATATTAATTCCGATTGTACTAAAGATCAAAATATTTTAAACTAGTGGCCATTGAATATTCAAAATGAGTCTAAACTAACATTGCCTTTTGATAGTAGTCACATTTGCCACCTGTGAACGGTTATGATTTCAGTCAATTGTTCAGTTATTTATTGAATTGAGGACACTGATTATAAACTGATCGATTTGTCAATCAGTCGCGACAATAATTCAACGCATACGCAGTTTGTTACCTGTTATGGTCACGATAAATCAAGTCCAAGCGCTGTGAGAAGCCTGTGAGGAGTTAGTTTTTGTGTTTCGGACAATGAAAACTAATCTTCCCATCCTAACTTTTGCGATGTTCAGAATACTTGCATATACAGTAAGTACAGTATAGTTTTATTTATTTAAGCCATGTCATCTTTCCGTAAAAAGGAGTTCGCAATTCCAAAATATGGCGAAATTTCTCCAATTCTTATGAGCAACGAGCAATGCTATTTTTCCAATAGTTTACTTCGTCTATAAATTTTCTAGTATACCGCAATGATTGAGAGTAAGACGAGCACGGTAATCCAGATATGAAAGCGAGCCTACTGCACGAAGACACTTACCAGCCACTTATGCGTACACCTGGCTCATTCCCTTGATAACCATACTTTGTGACCAAAACTCTCAAGCCTACGTTAAAACTGTTCTTAAGCTTTTTTTATTAACTGGTGATGACGCCAAGTCTGGTCACTTTTATTTAGGGCCAATGGGATTTAAAGGATGACTATGTCAAATAGAGAGACAGATAGATAACAATATTCAATGATGTTGCCGGAGATGTTAGCCTCACCTCAGGTGGTCAAAATTTCTGGAGCCCTCCACTACGGAGTCTCTCATAATCATATGGTGGTTTCGGGACGTTAAATACCACATATCAATCTATCAGATGTTAGCCTCGTTCGTTGTCTGACTTGCTACTCCGTGGTCAAATAGTTTTTCCCCGCATATATATCCTTTCCATCACGAGATCAGATATATAAAAGAAGATTCTGCAAATCCCACGTACCTTGGGAATAGACGTTATGCGAATCATGTGGGGGAAGATGACTGTGTTATCATTTTTTTTATTGAGCCACACGTTACGAAATAACGCTAAATAAATGTACAAACGTTGTACTCAGAGACATATGTTGAACAGTCGCATATCTTTATATAACCAGTTCGCACTTACGCAACGAAGCTAGCAGGGGCACGAGTATTAGCAACATGTGAAGCGGTAAGCTATGTAACGCTTGTGCTCGCGAGGATGGTAGCCCTGAACGTAAAGAAACTTCAGCGGATAGCCCTTAATTACGATTGACGTTAACTTGATGAAAAGGCTGTACCATAGGAGTACACATTCAATGTTTATGAAAGTGAATCGGCAGCATTGCAATCACAATCGAGGATTCACCATTATTATCACAGGAAACAGTATATTGCAAAGGCAATACCCAGACCTGGCATGGCTCTGTGGTAGAATACTTGGTTGCCACGCAGAATGCTCGGTATCAATTCCAGCTGGGACCCTGAAACTTATTCTTAGCAGTCGTCCGGTCAACGCTGCCGATGTCAGCTGTTTTTTAGCACTCTCGCGTTAAAATTACCAACGTCTGTTATAGCCATTCATTAACCTGTGGTACATACCTGTGGCCCATGCCCGCCCGCGGAAACGTGTCGCACGTCTGGCGGAGAGGGTTTGACAACGCACTTTACGTTATACCAGCACTTCACATTCGTTAAACCATCTTACCCTCTCATACTAATTGTGGTCCAGTCAGGTGATCACGAGAGCAATGAGACGTAGGCGTCTTGATAGATAGATAGATAGATAGATAGATAGATAGATAGATAGATAGATAGATAGATAGATAGATAGATAGATAGATAGATAGATAGATAGATAGATAGATAGATAGATAGATAGATAGATAGATAGATAGATAGATAGATAGATAGATAGATAGATAGATAGATAGATAGATAGATAGATTCCATAAGTGCTTGCAGTGCTACGTGGTATCAGCAAGTGGTAGTTCACCATAGGGTAACGTGCAGCATGAAAAAATGTACTCTGTATACTTGATGCTTGTAAAGCGTGCATTTCTGCGATATTACCCCTACGACGGCAAAGCCCACGCATAAAGATTCCGTGATACACATTTAGAAAGAGACAAAACAACGACGTAACGCATGCAGGCCACCTAGAAGGAGGCTAGGATCGCTACCTTGCAGGTATATCGACTGACTCAGTGAGTGAGTGAATGAGTGAGTGAGCGAGTGAGTGAATGAGTTTCTTGTAGGTGGGAGCAGGTACAATGAAGAGTCCAAATCGTATTTACCGACTGACACCTGATAGAGTAATGTAAGCAGGCAATTTTTCTCTGAACATTTAGTGTTTGTAGTGCTGCCCTTGGATTGCGTCCGTCTATAAGGCGACTGAATAAATCTTGTTGCTAATTTTTGAACACGTTCTAGTTTATTGTTTTGGCATTGTTGAAGAGAGTCCCATATATAATAATGTGCATATAGGAACCGAAGAGCGTCCGCACTTCGGCTTTCTTTGCGGCATGGTTCAAGTGACAACCGCAAAGCGAAGCGAGGGTAACATTTGAGCAGGCGACACGAACCGGGTCCCACCGTGGTATCACGTTCTACTCTTGAAAGCGAAGCTCAAGCATCCTCCAAGTTTTTTTTAGTTTACTCTACAAATTAGAGAACTTTCTGCACGATAGTAAACTTTCATAGCCGTGAAGCTACTGAATGAACAAAACACTAACATGTCTCAAGATGGCAGAACAGCATAGAAGACCAACACGCTTCGTCGTGACATCATACTTCTGCTTCCGTTTTTCTTCCCTGCATCGCCGCTGCGTACCCGACCCTCTGCTGTGTGCAGTTTAGCGTGCAAGCGCTTACGAGGGCGTTGATATTAGTATTTGTTTATACACGGTCTCGGTTTAGGAAAGGCATTCGATACCATAATGCACTCGTTCATCTTAAAAGCGATCGCAGACCTCGGCCTGGGGCATCGATCCTACAACTTTATCCGCTTTTTTATCAATCGACGCAGAGCCGTCCTTCGTGTGGGAGACCTAGTGTCGGAAGAAGTAGAGCTCGGACTGCGGGGCACTCCTCAGGGATCCCTCCTCTTACCGACGCTCTTCAACCTCGTGATGATTGGGCTTTCCGAACGACTATCGAAAATCGATGGGCTAAACCACACTATCTATGCGGACGATGTAACCATATGGTGCTCCACCGGGTCATATGGCTTACTTGAGTCCGCCCTGCAAGAAGCCATCGACACCGCCTAGTCCTACCTCGACCACACCGGTCTCAGGTGCTCACCCGCGAAGTCGGAGCTGGTTATATATTTCCCCAAACGCCAGGGTGCCAAGCCCAAAGGTGGAAACCTCCGGCGGAACGCAATATCACCCTCCACACCAGAGATGGTCGTACAGTCCCCAGGGTAGACACCATCAGGGTCCTCGGCATGATGATCGAGTCCACGGAACCAACACCAAACAGTAAAGAAGCTCAGTGACTAGAACTGAGAACGCCATACGACTCCTACGTAGAGTAACCAATCGGCCCCTATGGCCTCAAAGAAGACAACCGGTTGCCTCTTGTACACGTGTTTGTTTTTTGCCACAAGTTTACCAACGTTGCCACTATACAGAAATGGCTACGTGCTGAGTGCGATCAACTCAATGCCCTTGTTCGCAAGGGAGTCAAACGAGCCCTCGGCCTCCCTGTACACTACTCCAACGCACAATTTCTTCAAGCTTGGCGTACATAACACGCTAGAAGAGATTGCCGAGGCTCAGAAACGCGTGCAATTGACCCGACTCACGACCACCAAGGCTGGAGGCCATATTCTGCGTGAGCTCGGCTTCTTATCCTTGACGGCCTGGGACCTTCATAGTTGACTCTGATTCCCCGGGAAATCCGCGACCTTATCACGATCGCTCCCATTCCGCGAAATGTACACCCCGAATACAACAGAGGCAGGCGCCTTGCGCTGGCGCCCGTCATTCTCAAGCGCATAGATATTAAAGTGGGCAATATCTCGTTCGTGGACGCCGCTGCCTATCAAAACAACCGAGCCTTCATCGCAGTCGCGGTATCATCCACGCAGCAGATTCTTAACTCTGCCACAATCCTCACCCGTAACCCGAATTAGCGGAGCAAGTAGCTATAGCTACAGGTATGCTCGACAGCAAACGGAAAGTCATCTACAGCGACTCCAGAACGGCCATCAAAGCCTTCGAACGTGGCGTATTATCCGACCAGGCGTTTCGTATCATGTGCAGCATGGACCCGAGTGCCCTGAAGCACCACACTGTCATCTGGTTTCTCGCCCATCTGGGCCAGGTGCTGGGTGCCCCATCCAACCTCAACGAGATCGTCCTTGATGCAGCGCGCGCACTTAACGACCTGCACCACCACAGGGCAACCCCATCTTGCTGAGTTAGAGACCAATCGGGATGCACCCATTACATACAACGACATCACAAAGCACTTTTACCTTGAACGCCGATTTTTTCTACCCCCACATCAGAAACCTAACAGACCACAGGCGCTAACCCTACGCCTATTACAGACCCCCGCGTACCGAAACCTTGCCAAGCTTTACGTTTATTACCCTGATGCATGCCCCAGTGACACGTGCTCCTTGTGTGGACACACGACGACACTCGCAAACATGCTCTGGGAGTGTAGAAACACTCCTCCCGACTCTACCTCGAACAAGTGGGAGAGGTCCCTCAGGAGCTCGCATCTCACCGACCAGCAAGGGGCCGTCCAGCAGGCCCTCGAAGTGGCCGCCAGGTACTTACCGTCAGTCTCTACGTGGGAGACGCCCACTACGTGCTAAGCGCGTCCTGTGGGACTAAAATAAAGTTTTTTCAATCCATTAAGCTTTCTCTTCTTCTGCATCAAAGTGCAATACGTTAACTCAGAGGTGAGCGTTTTGTAAAAAGATAAATATGCCGGTATTTATGAAAAGAACAACGATTGAAAATGTCATGTTAAACGAGATACCGATGACAATCAAATACATGAACGAATCCTGTGAACTGTCTGGAAACACCTGGGAATTATCAATGAACACTCTCACCGAACTTGCTGCGATCGGTTCTCTCCCAAGAGCGTGCACGATCGCGGGCACTCGCCTTAAGTTTCCTCACACTAAGCTGTAACTATCAAACTTTATTTTTTTTGCATTGAATTTGCGGCCATACAAAGGCTAACAGGTACACGGCGGTTGTCGTATTCATTATCATTTAGACAATGTTCTACCACAACAGAGTGTGTTAAAATGAGAGACAATGAAATATATTATTATCGTAGAAAAGTTGAGATGCTGGCCCCAATTTTAGTTCTGCCACAAGATTCTTACTTACTCTTCGCTTACATGTGGCGCTCAATTTCTAATTACAAGGGAAGATTTTATGCGGGAGCGAAGAGCCCGAAGCCGAGACGAGTTGCCCGAGATTGAAGCGGAGAATTTCGCTCAGGCCTTGCGAGTGATAAATGAGAGCGTAGAAAATTGATGGTAGCGAGAAAACAAAACCTTATCCGAGCATTAATTCCGAGTCGCAATTACCCGCGCGTGTCGAATAAAAACGGGGCGAAAGAAAATACAAAAATCTAATGAATGATGTTGAAACATATGCCTCAATGCAATATTCCTGCGGGTGTATGTGAAAGATGCATTACGGCATACATTTCGCCCGAGCTAGCTTGAACAGCTTTCCTATTTGGAAACGTGTGCTATAAGGCCGTCATGCTTTCATCGTGAGCTCTAATACCATGCACCATCAATTTGACAGTAGCCCTGAAGTGATGCCGTGGTTAACTCTCTAAAATTGAAATCTATAGTAAAGAATACACGAGACCTTAGAAATAGAAAAACAAGTAATACCAAGTTAAACATACTGAATGCTGCTTGTTTGCAAGAAAGCGCTCGACGTGAAATCCCCTCCCACGACGGGTAGCTATGGCAGCGAAAAGCGTAGACAAGCCTGCGTGGTTCTTTTGGATACGAGGAGGTGCGGACGGGTTGAAAGACGAGATGGGTTCGGCATCCGTGGTAAGGAAAGCCTGTAGCGAGTCGGGTTATAACGGGGTCTTAGACTGTTTTTGTGAAAACAAGAAGAACGCGAGAAATCTCCCGTCGTCTTGGCCTCTGCCTTCCTTCTTGGAAGATAAATGAAGCGGTCGCGTATAAGCTCCCTATGGTGGCCGCCTCCAAATGTGTTCTGGCCGTGTCTTTCGCTACACATCCCCGTTTCCGACTTCACTCTTCTTCCACATCTCGTGCGTGGGGACGGCTTTGATCGGCTTTTAAGGAATGATGCCTCGAGACATGGCACGTCAGGCCTCAGTACACCATTTTCCTTCTTTTTAGTTTCTCTTTTCGAACGTGGCTGTAGGGGTTAGCGAAAAAGCCCGCCCTCCGTTTGTGTGCCGTTCATGCCTCGAATATCTCTTGCGAAGCCAGAAGAGGGGATTTCATTTGCCTTCGGCATGGTCTAGCTGTAGGAGCTCTCCAGTCCGGTAGCGTGGAGTGATATTTCATTTCTGACCCATTCGTTAAGCGCCTCGCACACATTTGTTCCACATTTCTTTAGCGTGGCTTTTCTTTCACTTTGACATTTTTTTTTTACGGGCGAAGCTCCTTATCGTCTAAGGCAGTTAGTTCATTTTTCCGGCGTAGCCAGCACAGCATATCCAGATGGACAAACAGACTGATATACGCACAGACGGATGAAGAGACGGACGGACGGACGGACGGACGGACAAACAGACAGACAGACAGACAGACAGACAGACAGACAGACAGACAGACAGACAGACAGACGGATGGACGGACGGACGGACGGAGGGACGGACGGAGGGATGGACCAACGTACCAACGGTGGTACGAACGGATGGACGGATGAACAGACAGACAGATAGACGAACGGAAGCTTCACCCCAGTCATCATCATTCACTCTGTGGATATGCTGTGATTTTTTTAGAGACTTCGGACTTCATGGAGCTACAAGCTCCGCAGCTTCCTTCAAATTCCCTTGCTTTGTGCGGCGTTCCTTCTTAACGATGTCCGGGTTCTCGCTGCTTCTACCTCTTTTACTCTTCAATGAGCGCCTTGATTCTCAAGAAACAATAATGCCCGGATGTTTCTCTAAACCGCGGAGAAGGGGGGTCAAACGAAAGGAGAGGGACGAAGAGTCCAATAGTCGTTGTTATTGGCCTCGGACGCGTGGGGTCGTTTGTCGCCATTGTTTACATGCTCGGAGGTTCTCTACCTTCCCTGCCTTAGTGTTCGGGACGTCCACTTTATACGAAGCGCTGCCAGTTTCGGGCATAACGGTGAACACCTACTACACCTAGCCGAGTGAGTCGGGGACGTAAATGTCACTTCATTTTTCCACCTCTCGCCACCTTTTGATGCATGATGCGCACTGGAAACGTCGGGAAAGATTGCTTCGAGTGCTATAAGTGTAGTCCCCTGCCGCATTCCAGAAACGTGCTGTCGGTGCTGGTCTTAATGATTGGCTGGCAACATTACTAGGCCATTTGCCGTACTGCACGGAATTAGAGAGACGGGAGAATGGCCCTTCGTTTTTCCGGACATTGCTTGTTTAGTTTGCTCGCACAATCGACCGCCAGTCTCAGCGACATTTGTGTGTGTTTGTGAGCATGTGTTTTTTTTTTACCGATTCCTTGAGCGTTTGTTTGGACTACGACGTACTGTGGCCTCTGGCGCGTAGCGTTGGTTCGCGCTATTCATTTTTATTTTGTTGGACGAAAGCACTTTTTGGTAACTTATACGCTCCTTCTTTCTCTGGATAACTTACGCGCTTTGTCACATACCTTTGGTGTTGGGAATAGTAGCTCCTTGTTTTTGTTCTTGAGTAGTTCTCTCCTCTCCATTCTGATTCATGTTTTTTCTACGCTATTTCATTTTTTTCATTCGTGGCTTTGTTTTCGTATCGTTACTTCGGTATAATCACCCACCACCACAATGAAGACACTACTTTTTTTATAATAACGCAGAGCTGAGGTAGCTGGTACGTATTATTTCGAAAAAAACAGGTCATGCGAATAAGGACTCACGGAGTTTGTGGAGCTCTGACTCTTTCTCGTGTTTGCCCGTGGTGCCTTTTTACTGTCAATACTACATTGTATTTTTTTTATTGCGACAGCAATTATACGGACACTCTCGGTTTGATTGTGCCACTGGCGTCAGCGTCGCTCACCGTATATATATATATATATATATATATATATATATATATATATATATATATATATATATATATATATATATATATATATATATATATATATATATATATATATATATTATGAAAATACAAGAAAAAAAACTACGGCATGCAGAATTGAACTTGCGTCCTGTCAATCGTGAGTGCGAGGCGTTAACCACTGAGCCACCGAGGAGCACGGCCTTCATCGTTCAAGTGGCAAGCTATTTATATCTACCACTTACCGTTGCTCAAGGGCATCTCAGGGGGGGGAGAGAACCATCATGCCTTCGGCTTTACCAGCAAGATGGCGCAATGAGCGCGCGTCGCCACATCGTGCGGCGGAATGCAATCTAATCTCCCACACGTACTTTGCTGCGCGTAGAGGAGAGAAGCGACGCTCCCTCGCGCGCCCTTATTACGCGGTAGGGAGCAGGGGAGGATCGTACGTCTTGGCTGGCCTCGGGCTTTACCTGGAACGATTTTGTTGTAGGTATCGCGCACACAAGGTCACTGCAGTCATTGCAGTTTCCGTTTGCGAAAAGCGCGCGCTTTTCAGACATATCGAAGTAACAACTGAGACGCTTATTCGCGTGCATCTGTACCTGTGGGTACGTTTTGTGCGTCATTTTGCGCGTGAGAAACGCGGTGCACGTTTCGATCTGCTTTCTATTCTGCACGTGACCTTCCAATTTGTTGCTATCGCGTTTATTGCTTCGCTTTTGCGGCAAAACTGTGACTTTTTGCTCGTTTCCTTCGCAGTCAGTATCCGTGGATGATACTTGCATTTCATACACTTTCTTAGTCACAGAAAAGTATGCTTAATATTTTGTTTTTCCCCGCATAAGTATTGTTTCTAGTTGTGAATAATGGCGTATTGCTAAATAGTCTTCCTCCTAAGTTTCTATTGAATATATAGGGTGATCGCTTTCCTCAAAAACCTCGCATTTCGCAACAGTGACTCGTGTCGAACAAACACGCATTACATACCCTTTCGTTCTTCTTTTCACCTATTCGTTTTTGCCACTTTCTCCAAACCGTGATTCATATTTACATATTGGCTACATCTGTAGTCTGTGAAAGTATCAATGTGAATGTAAAAGAGCCCGCTTTTGCTAGATTCTTTTTTTTTCATTTGACGACCAATTTAGTAGTTGTGAAGATATCATTAGGTTCAGCAGCATTCAGCAGAGTGAGACAGAGAGGGAGACTTATTAGACGAAAAAATAAGAGGTCGGCCTCAAGTGGTATCACGTGGATTGCTATTCGGTGCTGTAGGTGGAACAAATGAAACAATGTGGGGCATGACAAAGTGACGAAGGATCATAATTATTACAAGATAACTCATTGTTTTGTACAAAAATTTACCCCTGGCGAATGTATGTTAAAGTACCGTCGTCCTTACACACGCGTAGCAACCGATAAAGTACCGTCGTCCTTATACAAGCGTAGCAACCGATATACACTGATTTAATTTGAATTGGCTCGTAAGAAAACAAAACACATTCTAGATCTCTCTGTATTTTTTCTGTTTTGTTATACTGTTACGGAGTCGTGACGTGGCCGAAGACAGGAGACTTCTTGTTTGGATTGAACTGTTTATTTGGGCGAACCTGTGCCCCGGTAAACGAAAGTCCAATTACAGCAGCAGTCTTGCACAGATAGCAGTCTCGGACTGATAGCGGCGAACGGAGCGTCGGCCTTCGATCAACAACTGACAAGCGGCGAAGCGCGTCGGCATTTATACTCTTGCCGTCGAATGTTCTAGCGTTATCACTGGCGGTGGCGTAGCTTCCAGAACAATCTGTACCGTTCGCACAGTGGGCGTGATCTTATCGAAATCATCTACTACAGTCCGGAACCTTCTAGAAAACTGCAGGCGCGGTTTGCGCTGAGAATCGTGCGGTGTTTTGGGACGATAACAAAACTTGGGAAATGGAACGTGGCATTGCCCCCCTCTGAAAAAAAGGCATCGTCCCGATGCTTTAACTAAAGATGAAAGTACGATAATAATGCAAGAAAGTACAATGAATAAATTACGATACAACATTAATACAAAAAAACACTAGTTCAGTTTGTTAACGCGCATGAAACGGCTTGAGGCGCGCGACATGGACGACTTCAGGTCGCGATCGGCGTCGTTGAGAGTTCGTGATGCCGTCGGGGACAACCTCGTAATCAAGTGGGCCGAGCCGTCGAACCACCCTGTACGGTCCGAAGTACCGTCGCAGAAGCTTTTCACTTAGTCCACGTCGGCGTATCGGCGTCCACACCCAAACACGTTCACCGGGCTGGTATTCCACGAGGCGTCGTCGAAGGTTGTAACGGTGGCTGTCGGTCGTCTGTTGATTCTTGATACGGAGACGCGCAAGTTGTCGGGCTTCTTCGGCGCGTTGAAGGTACTCGCTCACATCGAGGTTTTCTTCGTCGGTGACGTTGGGTAACATGGCATCGAGCGTCGTTGCCGGGCTCCTTCCGTAGACCAATTTGTATGGAGATATCTGCGTCGTCTCCTGCACCGCCGTGTTATATGCGAAGGTCACATACGGAAGAATGGCGTCCCACGTCTTGTGTTCGACATCGACGTACATTGACAGCATGTCGGCGATCGTCTTGTTAAGCCGCTCGGTGAGGCCGTTGGTCTGTGGGTGGTACGCTGTCGTCCGGCGGTGGTTTGTTTGGCTGTATGCCAAGATCGCTTGAGTTAAGTCGGCAGTGAATGCCGTTCCTCTGTCGGTGATAAGGACCTCCGGGGCGCCGTGACGTAGGACGATATTTTCGACGAAGAACTTAGCTACCTCGGATGCACTGCCTTTTGGCAGGGCTTTTGTTTCGGCGTAGCGGGTGAGGTAGTCGGTAGCTACCACGATCCACTTGTTTCCGAAAGCCGACGTCGGGAACGGCCCCAGTAGGTCCATACCAATCTGCTGGAAAGGTCGGCAAGGTGGATCAATTGGCTGCAGAAGTCCCGCTGGCCTTGTCGGCGGTGTCTTGCGTCGCTGACAGTCCCGGCATGTTCTCACATAACGAGTGACGTCGGTGGTAAGACGTGGCCAGTAGTACCTTTCTTGTATCCTCGCGAGCGTGCGAGAAACACCGAGGTGCCCTGCCGTCGGATCGTCGTGCAGGGCCTGCAGGAGTTCTGGTCGCAGAGCTGAAGGCACCACAAGGAGGTACTTAGCTCGAAGCGGTGAAAAGTTTTTCTTTTGTAGAAGACCGTTTCGTAGAAAGAACGACGCAAGTGCGCGCTTGAATACCTTCGGGACTTCGGCGGTCCGGCCTTCGAGGTATTCTATTAGGGCCTTAAGTTCCGGGTCGGCCCTCTGTCGTTCAGCGAAGTCGTCGGTAGTTATCGTTCCTAAGAAGTAGTCGTCATCCGGGTCGTCGGGTAGCGGTTGGTCGACAGGCGCACGAGAGAGACAGTCGGCGTCGGAGTGTTTTTTGCCGGACTTGTAAATGACAGTAATGTCATATTCTTGAAGTCTCAGGCTCCATCGTGCGAGGCGACCTGAGGGGTCTTTCAAGGTGGCTAGCCAACACAATGCGTGGTGGTCGCTCACAACTTTGAAGGGCCTGCCGTAGAGGTAGGGGCGAAATTTCGACGTAGCCCAGATGATGGCGAGGCACTCCTTTTCTGTTGTGGAATAATTTGCTTCTGCTTTGGATAGCGATCGGCTGGCGTAACTAATAACCCTTTCAAGTCCGTCAGCCCTCTGCACAAGAACGGCGCCAAGACCTACGCTGCTTGCGTCAGTATGTATTTCTGTCTCGGCGAATTCGTCGAAATGGGCAAGTAACGGAGGTGTCTGGAGGCGACGTTTAAGCTCCTGGAAAGCGTGTTCCTGCGGCGTTTCCCACTTAAACTCCACGTCGGCCTTGGTAAGGTTAGTGAGCGGATCGGCGATGCGGGCGAAGTTTTTCACGAAGCGCCTATAATAGGCACACAGGCCCAGAAATCGGCGCACGGCTTTCTTGTCAGTGGGCGGCGGGAAGTTGGCGATGGCGGATGTTTTCCGTGGATCAGGACGAACTCCAGACTTGCTGATAACGTGCCCCAGAAACAAGAGCTCCTCATACGCAAATCTGCACTTTTCTGGCTTAAGTGTGAGTCTGGAAGTCTTGATGGCTTGAAGTACAGCTTCAAGGCGCCGAAGATGCTCGTCGAAACTCGAGGAAAACACGACGACGTCGTCCAAGTACACAAGGCAAGTCTGCCACTTCAATCCTGCCAGTACTGTATCCATAACGCGTTGAAAAGTTGCAGGCGCTGAGCAAAGGCCGAAGGGCATCACCTTAAACTCGAAGAGGCCGTCCGGTGTTATAAACGCCGTCTTCTCTCGGTCTCTTTCGTCGACTTCGATTTGCCAATAGCCAGTCTTGAGGTCCATTGACGAAAAGTACTTGGTGTTATGGAGCCGATCAAGTGCGTCGTCTATTCGTGGGAGAGGATACACGTCCTTTCTTGTGATTTTGTTCAGGCGGCGATAATCGACGCAGAAACGTAGGGTCCCATCCTTTTTCTTCACTAACACCACGGGGGATGCCCATGGACTCTTGGACGGCTGGATAATGTCATCCCGCAGCATTTCTTCAACTTGTCTCTTCATGGCCTCACGTTCTCGCGTCGAAACCCTGTACGGACTCTGACGGAGTGGTCTGGCATTTTCT